AATAGTAATTAAAATGGTACTCCCAGCGACCCACTGGTACTGGTACTGGTCATACTATGTAGCACAAGATGACATTAATTTAACCATCAATCTGCCTTAACTTCACAAATGCTGGTATTATAGTTGTGAATGAAGGGACCTAACCAAGGCTGAAGTCTTTTTTTTTTTATTTTCCGAGACAGGGTTTCTCTGTAGCTTTGGTGCCTGTCCCGGAACTAGCTCTGTAGACCAGGCTGGCCTCGAACTCCCAGAGATCTGCCTTCCTCTGCCTCCCGAGTGCTGGGATTAAAGGTATGCACCACCACTGCCTGGCCAAGGCTGAAGTCTCAAGATTAGATCAGATTAAGGTGCTGGGTACTAGCTCAGGCAAGTTCAGGACAGGAGAAAAATTGGGGAGTCACACTGACAATTTTAGTGAGACTTAGTCTGTGTCTCTGCAGTGGAGGTTCCCAGAGTTCTATAATCTACTCTGCATTGGTATTGGCATTTGATGACATACAGAGAAAGTCAAGATCCCTATCTTTGCAGATCACTGCCTGCTTTATGGGTGTGAGCACAATGCTGAGGACTGTGAAGACCATGTTAGAGATACAGTCCTTTATGTTTAAAGGCTTCAAGTACATGAACATGATGATGCTATAGAAAAATAGGACCACAGCAAGGTACTCCAAGCAAGTGAAAAAGCATTTGCAAGGCCTGCTGGCTGAGGACACCTTCAGGAAGGTGACCAGGATTGGCATGTTGGAAAGGCAAATGAGGTACTTGAGTAGAGGCAGCAGAAGAATGGCACCCACAGGGACAAAGTCATTGCTGACTGATGTGTCACCACAGGCCAGCTTCAGCACACCCAGGACCTTGCAGGTGAAGTGTCTGAATACTTGGTGGCAATTCAATGGCACTCTCATGGCAATGACTGTTTCTGTCTCCAACCTGAAGAGGTAGAGTACCCAGAAGACTCTTGGAGGCATGAAGAAATACCTGTGGCTCATGTGCACGGGTACCTGAGTTGCTGACAAATAGCAAGGTAGTGATCACAGGCCATGATGACAAGCAGCAGGCATTCTGTGGAGCCTGTGGAATGTCTCAGATGCATCTGGATGTCACAGCCATTAGAGAAGATGGTCTTCTGGGATGAGAGAAGGTGGAACAGCATCAGAGGCACAAAGGAGATGTGTAGCAGATTCTCTAAATGGAAATATTACTCAGAAATTGTATATGAGTGTGTGTAGGCAGAGATCCAACATGCACACGACCATGAAGGCAGTGTTCCAAGCAGGGTTACCAGATACATAACTGAGCACAGAAGAAAGAGTAGAGGCTCCAGGGATGAGTAGTCAGAAAATTCCTTCAAGATAAACTCAGACTTTTGTCCTGCTTCTCAGCTACATTGTTGGGAGCAGTGAGACCCCAGATCCTAAATTTCTTATAATCTTCTGATCTGAGTGCCTACAGCTGCTCTGAGCATGAGACCTTCAGGAGTTCCTGATGGTTTTTGGTGGGTTTGGCTGTGGTGTGGCTATCTGTATATAATCTGTCCCTAGACACAATAAAGGGGGCATTCTTGGGGAATTCAAGGATGACCATGTTGCTGTCTCTCTGTCTGTGTATATTAACCTCCAGCCCCTTGCCCGAAGCTCAGTTACTGGGTGCGCGGCAATTGGAGGTCTTCCACCGAGATTTGATCAATTGGAGGTCCTAGCAGAGATATCGGGAACAAGGGAATGCTGAGAGGTCACCCTCAGAAGGTGAGGGTGGATTGGGGTATATGTGTTAATCTTGACATCCTTCGCTCAGTTTGGCAGCATGTGGACCCAACCAAGAAAGAGAGGTAAGCAAACAGACTTTTCCCCAGCCGGAGGGGACGTATATATTGGGAATAGATAATGTATATAGCTTAAAAAGATAAATGTGTACAGATGTATGATATGTTGATTCTGTTGTCTTTTGTGTTCTGGACTGGAGAAAGACATTTGATTCTAGGAACTACTAAGAAAGTATCTTGACTTTAAAATATGGGCTTAAGAATTTGATGTTTTCCCGGGCGGCGGTGGCACACGCCTTTAATCCCAGCACTCAGGAGGCAGAGGCAGGTGCATCTCTGTGAGTTCAAGACCAGCCTGGTCTACAAGAGCTAGTTCCAGGACAGGCTCCAAAACCACAGAGAAATGCTGTCTCGAAAAAGTAAAAAAAAAAAGGGGGGGGGGATATATTACCTAAGTAAATGAGAAATAAGCAACTTACAAAACTCTAAAAATCACAGAGACATCTCACTTCCTGGACAGTCACCCAAAGTTTCTCTGTACAGTTGGGGCATCCATCTTCGGCCTACAGGGCCATAGTTTCCAGCAGACATTTCAATGAAGCAGGAAATTTCAAAGGCAGTTCAGTCTCTATCTGCTGTGTCCTGCAGAATGTCTCGCAGACTCTTATATGAATCAGGAACCCCAAAGGATCATCTCACCTTTAGGCAAGTTCAGCAGTCCTCTCTCTGAGGGTCTTCTGTGTCCAGTTTATACAGTACTCCAGGCAAGAGCAGTTTCTACCCAAATGGCTATCAAACTCCATAAGGAGGCTCTTCAATGCCCATCTTCCTCTTGAAGTAGCTGATGTTGCCAGGAGCAGATGTGTCTCATTGCCATGCAAAACCCTAAGTTATTAAAATGTTTTACATGCCATATTCTGCAGTCTTTGTAGATATGTAGAATGCCTATCTAAAATATATCTATGCACATATAAAGAATCTAATATGACTACAAACTTGACTATTATAGATGAATATCTATTAATAACCTATATACATTACAGTTTTAAATAAACTACACAATCACAATACCTTAATCAATATCAGAAATATATACACACAGAACAAAATTGACCTTAAATTAGTATCAGTAAACCAAGATTCATATCAATCCAAATTATTTATGTCTATATCACCCTTGAAATGTAAAAGAACATTTATAAACAATATTTGGTAATATGGACATAGATATTTCTCCAAACTGCTTCCTGCTGTATAGGGGCACTGTTAAGCAGGTCTTTGAGAGTATAACCTGTGTGCTAGATTTGTCTCAGTCAGCAGCTGAGTTAAGCAATTTTCTGAAGGTGGTCACAGCAACCTTTGAGGAGGGCGTGGTCTATCATACCATATTAGAATAGAAGCAATCCATAGGGTCTTATCCTGTGAAAACAAAAGAAGAATCTCTCTTCCAAAGTTTCATATCCTTAGATCCAAATTCTGAAGTCAAGGTATTTTCAAAATATCTATCTTGGATTAGTTCAGCAGCATTTATAAACAAATATCTTTTGGCAGATGTTGCTCTTTCCTCACCATTAAAACAATTCAAAGAGAGCACAATAGCATACAGTATCAAGATTCTCTGTGTAGTTTCCATCTTTGTGGGGCTTTACTTTAACCTCTATATCTTTTATAATTTTATTTTATATTCTCTGTATATCTTTTTTTTAAATATTTATTTATTTATTATGTACACAATATTCTGTCTGTATGGATGCCTGAAGGCCAGAAGAGGGCACCGGACCTCATTATAGATGGTTGTGAGCCACCATGTGGTTGCTGGGAATTGAACTCAGGACCTTTGGAAGAGCAGGCAATGCTCTTAACCTCTGAGCCATCTCTCCAGCCCTTCTCTGTATATCTTTGTCCTGGAATAACTCTGTAGACCAGGCTGTCCTTGAACTCTCAGAGATCTGCCTGTCTCTGCCTCCCAGGCACTGGGATTAAAGGCATGTGCTACCACACCTCGAAGTCACAGAAGTCAATCTCCCTCTGCCTCCCCAGTTTTGGGATTAAAGGTGTGTACTACCACACCCAACTACTCTTTCTTCCCTTTTTTTGTTTTTTACTTTAAGAACTTTAACTTTTAGCCTGCATATATTTTTAACACACTGTAAATCATTTAAAGGTTTTCTTTGTTTTTGAATCTCTCTTTACTATATATCTCCCTCTCTTTTTCTGACCACATGAGCTTTTAAACTACTGAGCAATATGGGCAGGATTAAAGCCGTGGCTTTGGTGGCTAGATCCAGTGCGTTCCTTAGCTTTCAGCCTCATGGTGGAGGTACCAGCTGTAGCAAAGTTTATTGCCACAAGTCTATTGCGTTTCAAGGTCCCTGCCAGCAAGCAAACTGCAGCATTCTACTCCCAGACCACACTCAGTTAACTGCCTGCCTGACTGAAAGAGTCAGAATCTGCCCTGGCAGGACAGCCCAGAAGGGGGCATTTTAAAATGTCACTTGTTTCCTGCTACTGCAGAAAACAAACAAGCATTCAGTTGGCTTTTATCAAGACCATTTAAGTGTTTCTTGGCAGCACCTCTTAAGAGCTGCAGGGTTTTGCAGCTAAAGCTCAGTCAGGAAGCCTCTCTTAGATGAGAGTGCTTGCTTGCCTCTAGCAAGCAGAGCACAATGAGAAATTGCTACTACCAAGAAAACATGCTTTATTCTTTCCCAAGCTTTCTCAGTCTTTATGTGGAAGTAGTTGTCCACATGGGCACCATTCTGTTAAAGGAGCTGCTGTCCACTTCCAGCCACCCAGTTCCCAGCTGCATGGCTAGCTTATGCCCCAAAATAACAACACACAAATTGTATTAATTAAACACTTCTTGGCCCATTATATCTAACCTCTTCTAGCCTAATTCTCATGTATAAATTTAGCCCATTTCTAATCTGTGTAGCACCACAAGGTGCGCTTACCAGGAAAGATTCAGCATAGTGGACCTGGTGGCTGACTGCTTGGCATCTTCCTCGGACAAGAGAGGAAATGATGTCTGCTTCACTTCCCTCTTCAGCCCAGCATTCTGTTCTGTCTACTTCACCCACCTAAGGGCTGGCCTATCAAATGGGCCAAGGCAGTTTCTTGATTAAACAATGACCTTCCTCCACCTACCACAAATTTCATTCATCATTATCTCTACAGTAGGTGTTATTTTATGCCTTTCAACAGTACAGGGGTCAGTAAAGGTCTTACCACACTGATTTCACTCAGAAGGTTTTTTTCTTGTGTGCATTCTTTTATGAATGTGAAGACTAGTTTCATATTCAAAGGTGTTAACACACTGATTGCATTCATAGGGTTTCTCTCCAGTATGTGTTCTTTTATGTTTTTGAAGAGCACTGTTGTCAGCAAAGGCCTTAGCACACTGATTACATTCATAGGGTTTCTCTCCAGTATGTGTTCTTTTATGCACTTGAAGATGACTACTATGTGCAAAGGCCTTACCACACTGATTACATTCATAGGGTTTCTCTCCAGTATGTGTTCTTTTATGTTTTTGAAGAGCACTGTTGTCAGCAAAGGCCTTAGCACACTGATTACATTCATAGGGTTTCTCTCCAGAATGTGTTCTTTTATGCACTTGAAGATGACTACTATGTGCAAAGGCCTTACCACACTGATTACATTCATAGGGTTTCTCTCCAGTATGTGTTCTTTTATGCAATTTAAGCGAACTATGATGTGCAAAGGCCTTAGCACACTGATTACATTCATAGGGTTTCTCTCCAGTATGTGTTCCTATATGCAACTGAAGATGACTATGACGTGCAAAGGCCTTGCCACACTGATTACATTCATAGGGTTTCTCTCCAGTATGTGTTCTTTTATGCAATTGAAGATGACTATGACGTGCAAAGGCCTTGCCACACTGATTACATTCATAGGGTTTCTCTCCAGTATGTGTTCTTTTATGTTTTTGAAGAGCACTGTTGTCAGCAAAGGCCTTAGCACACTGATTACATTCATAGGGTTTCTCTCCAGTATGTGTTCTTTTATGACTTTGAAGATGACTGTGCTGGGCAAAGGCCTTACCACACTGATTACATTCATAGGGTTTCTCTCCAGTATGTGTTCCTATATGCAACTGAAGATGACTATGACGTGCAAAGGCCTTGCCACACTGATTACATTCATAGGGTTTCTCTCCAGTATGTGTTCTTTTATGCAATTGAAGATGACTACTATGTGCAAAGGCCTTAGCACACTGATTACATTCATAGGGTTTCTCTCCAGTATGTGTTCTTTTATGACTTTGAAGATGACTGTGCTGGGCAAAGGCCTTACCACACTGATTACATTCATAGGGTTTTTCTCCAGTATGTGTTCTTTTATGACTTTGAAGATGACTGTGCTTGGCAAAGGCCTTACCACAGTGATTACATTCATAGGGTTTCTCTCCAGTATGTGTTCTTTTATGCAATTTAAGCGAACTATGATGTGCAAAGGCCTTACCACAGTGATTACATTCATAGGGTTTCTCTCCAGTATGTGTTCTTTTATGACTTTGAAGATGACTGTGCTGGGCAAAGGCCTTACCACAGTGATTACATTCATAGGGTTTCTCTCCAGTATGTGTTCTTTTAAGTTTTTGATGAGCACTGTTGTCAGGAAAGGCCTTAGAACACTGATTACACTCATAGGTTTTCTCTCCAGTATGTGTTCCTTTATGAGTTTGAAGAACACTGTATTGAGTAAAGTCTTTACCACACTGATTATATTCATCGGGTTTCTCTCCAGTATGTGTTCTTTTATGCCTTTGAAGATGATTGTGATGAACAAAGGTTTTATCACATTGCTTAATTTTAGAGCATTTTTCTCCGGTATGTATTTTTTCATTCCTTAGAAGATGAGCGTTATAAGAGGAAGCTTTAGCACAGTGAGAATATACGGAAAATGTCGCTCCAGTTTGATTTCTTTCAATCCTGCAAGGATAATTTACGCATGTAAAAGTTTCACCACATACAATGCACTGTTAAACCTCATATCTATAGGAATTAACTTCATATTTTTTCCAATTGTAAAAAGGAATCAAACATTATGGTTTTATAACTTTGTTTTAAATCATGTTTTGTTCACCCATTAGGGGTCATTTTGCATCTCAAAAAATATCTCTGATGATAATTTCCTCTGTACCATGGTTTACCTTTTCATCTATACCTATATTTTTCTATTATATTTTTTACATTTTTGAAGAGAACTGTATACACTGAGTGCTTTACCAACTTTACTACATTTATAAATTTTACTATATTGTGAATCATTATACATTTGCTAAGTGAACTAAGACATCTAAAAGTATTTGCACAGACCTAGAACTCATCGTGGCTTTTTCGTAATGTGAGTTTATGTATTAACAATGATGGTAGAAAATGAATTAACTTTGTATTCTTGGATCAAATTCAACAAGTATACTCTACATAGGAACTATATTTTATCTTCTTAATTGTTCTTAAGGAGAGGTATGCTAAATCTTTCCATATCCCTATGCTCATACTCTTATGTCAAGAGTAACATATGATATATATATATATAGGAAAGGAAGAATAGTCATTAAAAGATTTCCACATTGAATCCTCACGGTTTGAATTTCTGCTCTTTACAGACGTGTGGTGTAGATATTAAGGTTTCTCCACAACATCTGCCCCTTGATCCTTGACTCCAACAGCTGCTTTCATTAAACTTAACACAGTCACAAAAACTATATGAGTAATACAAGACTTACCATGGGCTATTGATTTAGTAGAAAGTTTTGCAGCTATATTCATCATCACTGAAATGTTTATACATTTTCTGTCATAAGTAACAAGAAACAAACAGACTGGCAGATGTATAATATAGCTCTCATGGTTAATGGTAAAATCTGTTTAGTCATTGCTTCCTTGACTTTTTCTTAAATGAATGCCTTGCAAATGCAATTCACATACAGGAAATTGAGCTATATGGATTTGTGAGAATTTAATAACCCTCAATGCATTTAAAACTATGCTTATTTACACTGTTGCTTTGTTTAAAAGTGTCATAAGACATTACAAACTCATCAGAGGCACATTGTTATAAACTTGCATAAGAAAATTACCTTGCATGCCTTCTACACCATTGACAATGTTCTTCAGTGTTATGGTCTTCCCAAATGTATCCTAAAATACAGTACCAGAATATGTATGTTATATTATTTAACATTGTGAAATAATTAGCCTATTATTCTAAGAACTATGACTGTGTTATTCACCTCATTCTCCTTCTTTCTAAATCAAATTACAGAACAACAACATAAACCAAGGAAGAGTTTTCTCCATATTTTGAAACATGAAAGAAATTTATTTTTACCGATAGTAGTGAGGTTCCTGTAGGTCTCCAGCATCACATCTTTGTAGAGATTCTTCTGGGAAGCATCCAGCAAATCCCACTCTTCCTTAGTGAAGTTGATATGCACATCATCATAGGTCACTGCCTTCAAAAATATACCACACATGTGTACAATGTAAGCATGAAGTGGCAACATTGGAATGCATACTTCTTTGAAAATACAGTTGTATGATTCTGGTGTTATCCACTCTTATTCCATGACATAGACAGTCACTTTAGAAGGAAATTTAAAAGGAGAGTCAATTCTTTTATTTCTGTTCCCTTTGTACCACCTAATAAGAGAAATATCTATTCATAGGGAGAGAAAAACAGAAAAGATCAACAGTACATTGTATGCATGAGAATATTGAAAAAAAATTACTGACTACAGAAAGGAAAAGAAGATGGACAAACTAGGTGTATTGAAGTATTGTGCCTTTAACCACAACACTCAGAAAACAGAGGTGGGAATGTTTGTCTCTGAATTGAATGCCAGTCAAGTCTAAGCAATCAGGTCCAGGAGAGGTGGAAATACACATTGAGACCCTGTTTCCATTGCAAACCGGAATGAAACAAACAATGGGATAGAAAGAACTGACAGACTTTTATTGAACTTCCCACAAAGAATTGTTTTCACTCCCGTTAATGACTCAGAATACTCAGGCAGTATTAATGTCATGAATACATGGCATCTTGGCAATCAGAGTGATGCCCTCTGTCTATTTTTAAAATTCAAGAAATTATGTAGCTCAGCATAGCAGCATATACTTGACATAAAAAATACCTATATTCTATCACCATCATCCAATAACATAATAACAAATAGAGCCAGGAATGATGCCTCCCTTTAGTTACAGGAATTGAGAGCCACACAGTTACTCAGATACGCAAACGAAACAATTAAAACAGCAGGTTACCAAACTCCTGAGGACTGAATAACAACTGTTTCTGCTATATCTTATGTGATTTAGAAATCGAGCCCATAATGATGTTAAAAGCATTTTAGTATAAGTAGGAAGCTGGCGGATTAATGTCAAGCATAACACAGTAGATTTAAAAATCAGGAAATTACTTGAGGGTATTGAGATTCATTGGATACAATGAAGAATTTTATATAGAAGGGCTTCATCTACTAAAGATCCACAGAAAATTGAAAGAAAACCACTATGGAGAGAAACTTGTTCAAATACATGATCTTTTCTGGGAGGTTGTTCATTCAGTCAAGTACATTGTGAACCCAGTTACTATTAGTTCATGGTCAACAATGGAAAAAATGCATTTAGTCATTTCAATGATTCCCATTTAATGTTGCTTCAAGAAGGATGCTTTAAAGAAATACAACACCAGCGCAATATTGAGAAATAAATGTATACTTATTTAGGGATGGACTCTTAAATCAGAATCTTATGCTTGAACAGAGATCAGAATCTGAATCACACAGCCACAAAAGAGGCCAAACTCATGCTCTACATTGGCAAGTATAGTGTAAGATGCCATGCCCCAATGGGCGGGAAACCACTGGCTGTAATTCTTTCTACAGCATCTTTCCCTTTTGTATAAATAAGAGAGTTCTTTTTTTTTGGTTTTTTTGTAATAAGAGAGTTCTAAGCCCAATAAAAAATTATACACAATAAGAATAATATATTCAACAATTTGAGCATCCTAAGTAGTTTAATTCTTGTTTAATAAATAATTTGGACATGTTATGAGAGGAAAGTAACTACAAGTATCTAGTTTTCAACCCCATTGAATCTGAGAAGGGAAATATTACTTGGGTAAGCAGGAAGTGCAATCAAGCAACTTTTCAAAATGGGCAACAGGGCTGGAGAGATGGCTCGGAGGTTAAGAGCACTGACAGCTCTTCCAGAGGTCCTGAGGTCAATTACCAGCAACCACATGGTGGATCAGAGTCATCTATGGTGAGATCTGGTGTCCTCTTCTGGCAAGCATACATGGAAGAATGTTGTATACATAATAAATAAATAAATCTTTAAAAAAAAACCAAATGAGCAACAAATTACAGAGACAACTGGCTACCTGGGCAATAATGCAAAGTCTCATTTGCAGCGTTGAAGGGACCAACTTTTGCTAAGACCTAGAATAACTGACAGATCATTTTCAGAGGGAGGAAATTTTTCAAAACCATCTTACCCTGGCTTGTCAAGATTTTTTTTTTTTTTTTTTTTTTTGGTTTTTCGAGACAGGGTTTCTCTGTGGTTTTGGAGCCTGTCCTGGAACTAGCTCTTGTAGACCAGGCTGGTCTCGAACTCACAGAGATCCGCCTGCCTCTGCCTCCCAAGTGCTGGGATTAAAGGCGTGCGCCACCACCACCCGGGTTCTTGTCAAGATTTAACAGACCTGTTTATCCATATTCAGACACAATCTATCTTTTCAGTAGTTGAGGCATGAGCATGTTTTTGTCCAAAAGACAGTTTTGTCAAGAAAAAAACAAGCTCCAAGTGGAGTGCTTTTGGTGCTCAACATTCTCTCTGGAATAGATCATTGCTACCAGGAGCAATAATGCCTCACTTCAACAGAACTCTAAGTTAGTTAAATGCCATATTCTACAGTTCTTTGAAGTGGTTGAAGATTACCTATCTATGCAGAATATAATCTCTACTTATCTAAAGAACCTGATTATTCTAAGTATGACAAATATAGATGACTATTGTTCTAGATTTCATATGAGAATATTATACAATATTGCAACAAATGAGGACAATGACCTCAAAATGTAAACAATGTATAGGTATCTGGATCAGTGGTAGAAATGTGCATTGCAATATGATAAATATGTATCAATATATAAAATATTTTAAAGAGAGGTAGTAGCATGAATGCATATAATATTCAATATGACTTAACATTATATCAATATAAGAATCTATACAAATGGTTGGGCGGTGGTGGCAAACTCCTTTAATCCCAGCACTCGGGAGGCACAGTCAGGAGGATCTCTGTGAGTTTAAGGACAGCCTGGTCTACAAGAGCTAGTTCCAGGACAGGAACCAAAAGCCACTGAAAAACCCTGTCTCGAAAAGTCAAAAAAAAAAATCTATACAAATGCAATTGCCTATAAATTATACCTCACAAGCATTCACTCTATTACTCACTATTATTAGTGTGTGGATGCTCAGACTAATCTATTATTTCATCCAATTTTCCCATTTTTTTTGAAAGAGATCCCCGAGCCTTTAAAATTTCCCTTCCTGCCGGGCGGTGGTGGTGCATGCCTTTATTCCCAGCACTTGGGAGGCGGAGGCAGGCGGATCTCTGTGAGTTTGAGACCAGCCTGGTCTACAAGAGTTAATTCCAGGACAGGCTCCATAACCAGAGAAACCCTGTCTTGAAAAACCAAAAAAATAAATAATAAAAAATAAAATTTCCCCTCCAACCCAAAATCCTATACCAATTATAACCAACCCCTAAATGATGTCCCTAACCCTGAGGACAAACTTTGTTGGGAGAGGAGAGGAAGTCTTTTAGAATTACTTCCAGCTGTCATGGGGGTGATGTTCTTTCTTTAGGATCCTGTGAAAGTAAAATGATGGTTAAGTTCCAAGATTACTGTCTGGTATAATTGCAAATAGTCTGACTATTTGGTAAGGTTTTTCTGAGCTTCCTATAAGAAGGTCAATCCAGAACATTGTAAAAAGTGTACCATTTCAGCTAACTAAGATGGAACCATCTTGAGCATCTGGTACTCAAAACAGATCTTATAGTAGTGCTATTATCATCCTGATGTAATGATATCAACCAGGTTGACTTGTTGTGGGGCCCCATCTTCTTCCTGGAAATTTAAAAAGTACTGCAGGATAATCCATTGTTCATTGTGGAAAACTTATTATTTATATAGACATATACAGACATATATATATATTCAATGGCATGTACAATAGAGACAAAAATAGATATGAAGAGAAGTGAAAATTTTTCTTAATTTTAAAAGAAACTACTTATTTATACATTTTACATTGATATAGATATGGATGCTTCCTTTTGATACAAACTTGACATTATTTTTGTTAAAACATACTGTCTATGATGTTATATTCTTACTCAAGATATTTTACCTAATACAACTCACTTAAACATGCAATGAAAATTTCTAGTCCTCAAAAGTTTTATCATAAACAAATTAGGATATAAAGTACTGAAGGTGAGTAGTTTGTTACTTATTATAATTGAAATTATACTCAAGTCAGGTATGTTTTCAACATTATACAGAATTTTATTAGATGATTCAACTGAACATACTTTAGAGAAAATGTTTGCTGAAGTAAAGCAAACTTTGTCTCCTTGGGGATTAAAAATATACAGAATATTCTGAAAATATACAAAAGGGAGATTCTATTATTTATTCAGCATGTAAAATACTTTTACAAAAATTTGAGCCCTAAATTTAAAAATTAGGAGAGATTATTTGAGGAATCTTAATAATTTTCTGAAATTGCTGCAAGGCATTTACCATCTATAGTCCAATATTTGGGTAAAAAATTCAAAACAGTAATTAGAACCAAACTATAAAAGGTGACAAAGATTTAAATAGTCAAAGAGAATTATCATTTAAGCAGTGAAAAAAATTGGTTTAGTGGAAATAAAATTATAGGACGCACATACGGATGGTTTGGATCTGAAGTTTGGTTATATTCAAGACATTTTCTTAATACAGGGTTTCTCTGTAGCCTTGGAACATGTACTGGAAGTAGCTCTTGTAGACCAGGCTGGCCTCAAACTCCACCTGCCTCTGCCTTCCAAGTGCTGGGATTAAAGGCATGAGCCACCACCTCATGGTCTTCATTCTAGGCATTTTAACCTCTATGCATTCCCCTATAGGAATTTTACTGCAGAGGAAAGATATTATTTTAAAATCAATATTTTTCCCACATAAACAGACAAAAAGCTATAAATTTATGTGGAAAAACATCTGAGTTGATATTAAAAAGAAAATTGAAACTTCATCTATTAGCAAGAATTGAACAAGGTTAAATTATAGACTGTTTTACTAATGTTAAAATTGAAACATAGTGGACAGCAAGTAAACACTGGCAAAGTGCTTGCAGTAATTTCTTGGGAGAGATTAACAACAAATATCTCTTTTGCCATAATATTAATAATCATAATGATCATCCTGAGTAATTTCAGACTTAAGGAAGCCTTTTGAGTTCAAGCATACCTGCTGTACTTCTTCCAGTAACCTTGAGGGCTGTGAATAACTTCTGCGTTAGCCAACAGAAAAAAGCATTTTGCCCAGCTGAAAGAGTCCATTTTTTCTATTAAGATTTGTGCTAGTGTTGGCCAGCCAGGGGCACTCCTTGTTAGTGATTAGAAGCTGCTTAGCTGAATCAGATAATGCACAGGTTTGAGCTGCCTCCAAGCACAGTGCAGGGAGGTTGGGAGCTGGCTGTACTGCTTTTTGATCTGCCTTTTGGCTATATTTAGTATATATGCTGGCTGAGAAATATACTCAGGCTGTTTTCTATTGACCTTTCATCCTCTAGGTCTAACCTATGATTCTGTCTTCATTTCTCTTAATCTAACTTTTCCTTAGCCTCAGCATCCCCTCCAAGGGAACCCCTAGGTGAATTTTGCTAGACTGATTAAATGGGGTATCCTGTCTCTGTAAGTCCTCAGACTGAATGTTGTTTCTACAAAACACTCAACCCTCAGCTCCTCTCTCATACCACCTTATATTCCTCTCTGTGTCCAGACATGTCACTTCCTATCTGCAACTCCTTAGAGATAGGATTAAAGATATGAGACACCAGCATTTGACGCTACAACAAACTAGTGTGACTACTGGGATTAAAGCTATGTGTCAGCCTTGCCTGTGGTGTAAGGCTGGCCATGGCATCTGTTTTACTTCATGATCTTCAGGCAAGCTTTATTATTAAAATATAAATGAAAAAATAAAGTTAAATAATGAGAAGCAAGCATCTGAGATCAAGAAGAGAAATGTAGAACTGTTTATCACCAAAGAGTATAAGAAATATTCTGAGTACAAATTGGTGAAGGTCCATCATTTTCAAAGACAATGAATGATATGATTAAATTATAATTCACAAAATCAGCAATACAGATGACACTATTGACAAAACAAGAGACAAACACAAATATATACATATATATGTTTCTTAAAGAAGAACTGTAAGATTCTAATCAAAATCAATTCCAGAGAAATCACTGGCCATCATGCATCCTGTACTCTTCCTTTTTTTTTTTTTTTTTTCTTTTTGGTTTTTCGAGACAGGGTTTCTCTGTGGTTTTGGAGCCTGTCCTGGAACTAGCTCTTGTAGACCAGGCTGGTCTCGAACTCACAGAGATCTGCCTGCCTCTGCCTCCCGAGTGTTGGGATTAAAGGCGTGTGCCACCACTGCCTGGCTCTTGTTCTCTCCTTTACCAATAATAGAAAATGGGTTGAGTATTTCACCAAAATTTATAATATTCTCTTGAAGTCTTCTGATGTTTTTACTTTACAGAAAATAGTTTTGATTACTGAAAGCATCTCATTCTCTTTTGATAAGGAAAATGATGTCTGTTAGGATCACTACCATGTTGTTTCCTACAATTGGTGATTGAAACCAAGTCTGCACCACAGTGAGGAAATGAAATCATTTTAAATGGAATTTCAAGAGAACAGATTTTTAAAGAATCAGTGTACATGTAAAGCAACTTGCTTTACTCCAACTGCTCTATAAGTTCCAAGCACTTTTGAAAATAAGGTTACTGATATTTTTGTGTGTTTGTGCATGACAGAGAATATCACATACACACAGACACACACACACACATACAAAGACATATAGAAAGGAAGGTTGCTCAATTGGGAATATTAGAGATTTGTTAACTGTAGGCCCATATTTCTGTATGGTGTAGCAGTCAAGCATAAAAGCCATAGGCCTGGTATGAGCTAATCATGTAGCTCATCAGACAAGCTGTCTGTGCATAACAATAGCAAGAATGTATAGTTCCTTTCTTCTTTTATTAGAAATGTAGATCTCCTGAGGAGAGGTGTTGGCTGAAACTGGTCAGGATGTTTGGTGCCTATTTCTTGGTAATTTGGAAGAAGTCTTATACAGATGCTAATTGATGGCCTGCTAGACTGCTAGCATACACTTAGGTGAGGACCTGACTAAAAGCTCATTCACCTGGTTGCCTAGGAGACAGCCTAATGTGTTTTCCCACTCAATAATAAACGAAAAGAGATCTTCGAGAGATCTTGCCCTACAAGGATGACCCTGTAAATTGCATCTGATCATTCCTCGTGACTCCATTCCAGTCCAGTTAGGGAAAATAATTATCTGTGTTGGACCCACACGGGCTTCAACAATTAACCGATCAACTAGCATGTAGGTATCTGAATTCAGGTC